TAGCTGTATCTTTGTCAATAGTGGGAATATTTGGGTAGTTTTAGTATCAAATGAAAGCTTGGGGACTTGGGATCACTGTAGAACCCTTGTTGAAAGTTTTATTTGAATAATAAAGAAATATATGAAATTTTAATAGGAGGGCTCATTTGGCCTGTTGTTCAGATCAGAAGTTCCTGTTTTTGTACTATCAAACTTCTGGGAACCAGTACGCTCTAATATGCAATTAAAGGTATGTTGTTTTTTTCAGCACAAGTCAGCATAAGGTACAGTTTTGACATGAAATAACTGCTACTCTATTTGAACTTCAGACAAAGTAGCCATTTATGCTTGAAATTGCAGAATTTAACATAGAAAGCAATGGGGCTATGAATTAGTGGTTTTATACCTATTACTGACAGGCATGTGAAATTCTATTTTTAGAAATCATACCCTTTACAGTGAAAATTGGTCACATTTGTTGTCAGAAATCATGTTACATTATTTTTTTTATGTAACAATTATGTTAGTGTCAAATTACAGCCCTCAAATTGCTACAATAAGGTAGTTTAGCCTTTTTTGGTCATTTACCATGCACACAGTTAAGATTTTACCTGAAATTTAAATTTTTGGATTATCTAACACTGAAACCAATGAAACTTGTATATTATGACTAGTTTATAGTATAAATATTGTTTTTGGTCAAATTATCTAGTGAGTGTTCAAGTTTTATTATGTTTCTTGGTGAATTATTTATTTCAACGAAAATTGGTGTATACTTATATAGGAATTCCAAAATCTCTCTTGAAATGCATTTTATAACCATTTTAGCAAGTTGTCTAGCTTGGAGATACATAAATTGCTCTTGTTGACCCATGTTTGTACATAAAAGTATGATTTTTTTACCAAATCACTCTCCTTTTCCAACATGTAGAAAAAAGGGGGGACAAAATTATCAATTATATTTTATGTTTGGACTACTGTATTTATATTCAAGGAAGAATTTCTGATAAAAATAAGACATATAGGTAAGAACACTGTTATTTGAGTAGATATTAACAAATCAGAACTGGTAAAAATTGAAAAAGTATCATATCTGTCACTATTGGTATCCATATGTAGTTTTCTTTGTTTAATGCATATATTACTACCAGTCCAATTTGAGCTTGAATTCAGTGATATAGTGTTTTGACAAAAGCTTTATGTGTTTTTCTATGCTAGAAATAGATCATAGAAGGAAATTAAGTCAAGCAGAAGTCAATATAACAAGTTTGGTGCTGTTATACTGACAGGCATGTGAAATTCTATTTTTAGAAATCATACCCTTTACAGTGAAAATTGGTCACATTTGTTGTCAGAAATCATGTTACATTATTTTTTTTATGTAACAATTATGTTAGTGTCAAATTACAGCCCTCAAATTGCTACAATAAGGTAGTTTAGCCTTTTTTGGTCATTTACCATGCACACAGTTAAGATTTTACCTGAAATTTAAATTTTTGGATTATCTAACACTGAAACCAATGAAACTTGTATATTATGACTAGTTTATAGTATAAATATTGTTTTTGGTCAAATTATCTAGTGAGTGTTCAAGTTTTATTATGTTTCTTGGTGAATTATTTATTTCAACGAAAATTGGTGTATACTTATATAGGAATTCCAAAATCTCTCTTGAAATGCATTTTATAACCATTTTAGCAAGTTGTCTAGCTTGGAGATACATAAATTGCTCTTGTTGACCCATGTTTGTACATAAAAGTATGATTTTTTTACCAAATCACTCTCCTTTTCCAACATGTAGAAAAAAGGGGGGACAAAATTATCAATTATATTTTATGTTTGGACTACTGTATTTATATTCAAGGAAGAATTTCTGATAAAAATAAGACATATAGGTAAGAACACTGTTATTTGAGTAGATATTAACAAATCAGAACTGGTAAAAATTGAAAAAGTATCATATCTGTCACTATTGGTATCCATATGTAGTTTTCTTTGTTTAATGCATATATTACTACCAGTCCAATTTGAGCTTGAATTCAGTGATATAGTGTTTTGACAAAAGCTTTATGTGTTTTTCTATGCTAGAAATAGATCATAGAAGGAAATTAAGTCAAGCAGAAGTCAATATAACAAGTTTGGTGCTGTTATAGGTATAGAACCACTAATTCAGGCCCGGTCGGAAAGAACATACAAGAAAGTAGTACATATTTTAAACAAAATAGTTCCTACGCATAGCTGTATCTTTGTCAATAGTGGGAATATTTGGGTAGTTTTAGTATCAAATGAAAGCTTGGGGACTTGGGATCACTGTAGAACCCTTGTTGAAAGTTTTATTTGAATAATAAAGAAATATATGAAATTTTAATAGGAGGGCTCATTTGGCCTGTTGTTCAGATCAGAAGTTCCTGTTTTTGTACTATCAAACTTCTGGGAACCAGTACGCTCTAATATGCAATTAAAGGTATGTTGTTTTTTTCAGCACAAGTCAGCATAAGGTACAGTTTTGACATGAAATAACTGCTACTCTATTTGAACTTCAGACAAAGTAGCCATTTATGCTTGAAATTGCAGAATTTAACATAGAAAGCAATGGGGCTATGAATTAGTGGTTTTATACCAAATCAGTCTTGATAATTTTATAAGCTAATTAGTGAGTACATCAAAGTTCCGGTCAAGATCAATGAATAAGACGTCATTTAGGTAAACAAATCAATTAACTTGCTTCTCAATTTTTCAATATTTTATATGCAACAATTTCAGTATCCGTAAAATTATTTAATTGGGATTTAAGAATCCGCCAAAATAAAAACCGTCAAAAATTTTCGTATACTTTGTTGTCCCTAAATCGAAAATAACCCGCTATACGGTATTTTATCAAATATGACTTGTTTTCCGTGTTACGGACGAAATTTTCGGCCTTTAAGAATGCTTACCCCATAATTTCTTTACCCTCACGTTGTAGTACTGTCCAATAGCTATTCCTTAGGGCAGCGTCTATAATGCCTAGCCATAAAGAACTACCGAAACAGTGGGTCGGAAAGTGGGTGCCCCCAATGCGTATTTTATCGAATTTGGCTTTATTTCTATGTTTCGGACGCAATTTTCGTCCTCTAGTAATGCTTACCCCAGAAATTCTTTGTCCCCTGGTTGTAGTACTACCAAGTAGCTATTTATTAGAGCAGAGTCTATAATCCCTAGCCATACAGAACTGCCGGGGCAATGGGTTTGAACAAGTGGGTGACCCCAGTGCATACCGGTATTATAGATAATGAACTAATGAAGGCTATTTTTTTCGTAAAATATATTTTTTTTCCTAGGAATCCAAAATCTAAAGGTACAAATGAATGGCTACCATACGACAAGACCAATGGACAATTTATCATTTTTGGAGAATACAGAAATTCAACTGTAGATGATTTTCATAACAAAATGAAATTTTGGAATGAAGAGATTCCTCACATTGTTTCAGAGTGCTTAAAGAAAGGACATGAAGATAACGAGACAACTGTTGGTTTCGTTACAACAAATACTGTATTGCGGACTCAAACTGTCGCTTTTGAATCCGTAGTCAAACAAACCCCTTGAGGTAGGCAGTTGAACATCCGAATTCAACTAACATTAGATTTGAACCTAGAATATCAGTACGTATGCTTGCCATTTACTATTTCTTGCAAAAGAAAACTACGTGATGCGTAAACATTGATTTCACCCGTGAAAGTTGATTTTTCACATGTCTTATCTAAATCTAGGACACGGCAGTAAGAGCTTCATCAATGAGGTACTCTGACATCTAGTTGTTTTTCTAATCTTTTCTTTCTTTTTGAGAGACTGTCCTATTATTAACTTTGAAATTTTTGGAAATACTAAGGATAACCCGAGGAATACATTACCTTAGCTGTATTTGGCAAAACATTTCTGAATGATGGATCCTCAATACTCCTAAACTTAAATTTGTTCTATATTTGGTCTTTTTTCACTTTTATTCGAGCGTCACTGATGAGTCTTTTGTAGTCGAAACGCGCGTCTGACGTACAAAACTTTAATCCTGATCACGTGTCCATGGTGACTGAGTTTATTGATTTTTACCAAACATAAACTTTTTATATAAATTGATTCTTTTAAGTGCATGATCGGGTATTCATAAGAAATATGAAAACAAGATAGTTTTCAAAATTAAGTTTTCCTGTCGAATTTTTGAATTGATTGACGTTACTTCAGGAAATCCTTAAAATTTGAAATGTTTTATCTGACCAAAACTATTGTCATCATATAAGAGGTCCTAATGAAGCTGGTGTGTTGCTCTCAAGAACAAAATACGAAATCTTCTTATAAGTTGCATGCCACAGAGTTACACTTCACATGGAAATTGAACTTTCAATTTCTCTATACCACCTCTTCCATGAATACAGACAGCTTCAATGAGTATAAGAATAATTTAAAGTATCAAAGGAAACAAAATATGAAGATATGAAAGATAAAATAAACGCATCAAGATTATAAAGCAAACTGAGTGCTGAACTTTATATCTTGACTGGCCTGTGTAATTTGCTTTAATAGGCAACCGGTTTGCAGAAATTGAGAATTGCTATAGGATTAGGTCTTTGTATATAAAACACGGAGAAAAAATGATGTACAATTCCAAGTATTAAGTGAAATAGTCAAACCTTAAAAGGTAATTTCAAATGGTAGTTGTATACAATTTTCTATTTACAACCAAATTCCAACAGTGATTTTAATTGACTTGTGCAAGAATCTACACACAATAATATATTTTCTATAAAGGTGTTTAAATATCCTCGTTACCTCATTCTATTAACAGTCAATTATTAAAAAAAAAAAAAAAGCAAAAATAAATTCAATAAAAAATATTTGGTGAGCAGTCAGCGGTCTAGGGTTCACGTATTGCTTTTTTTTTTAAAGAAAGCAACTTGTTTTAACACTGAAATACTAGTGAAGGAATATAAGGTTTCTATTAGAACATAGACTCTATCGCGAAAGATTAAGAGAAAAACCTTAGCTTCAGTTTAATATATTTGTTTTATTTATGTTCATAAAACTCTGTCTTTATCCTGGCATTATGGAATTTAGGATTAACATCACTTGGAGCATTTTTAACTTGATTGTAACCATCATGTTTCATTTTGGGAACTGTTGCAAATATTCTAGCCGGTGCTCCACTACCTTTATACAGCTTCAAAGGAGGGATGAAAATAGTCGATTTACAAGGGGGAATCGCATCTAGGTTTGCAACGCCTTCTAATGCAATTATAGATTCACGAAAAAGCCTTTTATGAACCGGTAGTGCTCCGAGACCACGAAGGTCCACCGACGGTGTGTCAACACCAACAGCCAGCACATGTCTGTTGCATAGTAACCATTCTACAGCGTCGATTGTCCAGCTTGGAAACCGATGAGTTTGCATGTTAGTCCAATTTTGTGACCCAAAGACCAATTCTGGATCTGGATACTTTTTATACCATCCTGAGTTCATTATTACCACTGCATAGTCTGGTATTTTACCAAATTGAGCTTCCCAGTTTAACAAATCGTCAACCATTACACCATACACGAAATTCACAGCAACCTTTTCTGTTACATCAATTATTACTCCAGGTCCAACCATTTTTTCTAAAGGAACTTCGTTCATGAAAGGCCTTCCTCTAAACATATGGGCTGGTGCATCAACATGAGTGTTGGTGTGTTCCGCCATACCAAACCAATTTTCTTCAATCCTAAGAAAGTAATGAAATACGACATTTAAATTAATCTTGTCACATGATAGTTATTATTTAATCCCGATTGGGTTCGTGTTGTTCATTCTTTAGTTTTCTATATGGTGTTTTGTGGACTTTATCGTCTTTTCGTCGCTTTTCTTTTTTTGCCAAATCGTTTTCAGTTTTTAGTCGACTTATGAAAGAGGGACGAAAGATACCAGAGGGACAGTCAAACTCATAGATCGAAAACAAACTGACAACGCCATGGCCAAAAATAAAAAGACAAACAGACAAATAATAGAACAGATGACACAACATAGAAAACTAAAGACTAAGCAACACGAACCCCACCAAAAACTGGGGGTGATTTCAGGTGCTCCGGAAGGGTAAGCAGATCCTGCTCAACATGTGGCACTCGTCGTGTACCTTATGTTATTAAAAATCCGGTAAATAGTCTAATTCGGTAGGTCACATTCGTGAAAAGGGAAGGGTATTGTAGTTACGACATAAGGAACATATCCGATATCATCTGTGAAACGGTTATTCTATAACAGTCAACCAACTCGTGATGGCGTCCGTAATATTTACGAAGGGATGATTTCTATTTCACCATTTGGAACTCTTGGTTTAATAGCTTCCTTGTGAGCAGCAATCCTCTATCAAGGAAATCATGATAGGAAATACAAGCCCGGGAATATCGTATCAATTGGGAGATATATACTCCTTATGCAGGTGCTGCTGGAATGTTGCTACATAGAAATGGAAAGTTCACAATTGGGAAGCTGAAATCATCCCTTCGTAAAATATGAGTTTTTGGTTGTCCCGCTTGGTATATTCCGCTTCTTGTTTTACACATCTTCATCGATAACAACCTTTGGCAGATTTTCGACCAAACATGTGACTTTTCTATACTGTTATTATTAATAACACCATATTTAAAAAAAGAGAAACATAGTTTAATTGATAGTTTAGAAAAATGATATATGCATATGTTTTGTAAAATTCTGTAATCAAATATATAATGATTTTTTTTATTAGTTGCTATAGGCTTTGAACTAGCTGTCAGTAACTGCGAGTACTCTCAGATCTGTACTTAAGTGTCTTTTTGTTGTGGAGATGTATAAGTACCCGTCCACGTCCACTCTGTGTTTTTATTAGATGTATTTCTATTTGTATCCATCCGATGAGTTAAGCCTTTTTCAACTGGTTTTCATAGTTTGTTCTTATGTTGTAATGTTACACCACTGTCCCAGGTTAGGGGAGGGTTGAGCGCTCACAAACATGATTAACCCCGCCACATTCTTTATGTGCCTGTCCAAGTCATGAGCCTGTAGTTCAGTTATTGTCTTTGGTTCATGTCCGTCATATTTGTTTTTCGTAAATTGTTTTGTTATAAATTAGGCCGTTAGTTTTCTCAATTGTTTTATATTTTTCATGTCGGGGCCTTTTATAGCCGACCATACGGTATGGGTTTTTTCTCATTGTTGAAGGCCGTACAGTTGCATATACTTACTTATATCCACTCCATTTGAACTTTGGTGGATAGTTGTCTCATTGACCATCATACCACATCACCTATTTTTATAAATAGTCTTTTCTTCGTCATCAGTGACAGGATTTCCTTCTTACATCAAGAAATTTAAAAGCTAGAAAAGTGGCATGTTAGAAAGGTATACAATTCGACATAGAAATAAAATATAAATACTGTTGGAAAATATTTTTTTCTAAATTTCATTCCAGGTCTATAGATTATTTCTGAATTCCTATGTTTACTTATGTTAGAAGTTGGTTTTTCAATGCTCTGATGTCCATTTTGAAAGTGGCACCTTTTGACAGCAGGAATGAATTCATAATTCATAATCTTCCCCGTATATTTCAAATTTCGTTAAAATAAAAGCTCTTAAATTTTCTTTGTAATTTGACTGCCATTTAAAAAAAAAATGCATGCAAAGGATAGTTTTTGATACCGGGAATCAATTTGGAATTACATTTCAATTTAAGTTGAAATCCTAGCACACAAAAATATGTGATTTTCACTACTAAGAATGTTTTTATGACAAACAACAGAACAAATTAGTGTTCCTGTCCTGCTCGTACTAGTAAATCTAGAAAAAGCGCTTGGACGCATAAAATTTATAGCGTGTTGTTTTCATTGTGTTCAGCACTGGGTGCATACCTCTGCTGTTTGACTATCAGTTCCTGAGGGTATCATCAGTTTTGTAGTCAGTACTTCGGTACTGACATGATATATAACAATCCTTTTTAAAATCGTCCGTTTATAAGTTTAAGCCATAAAGCTCTTCAACTGTTTCGGTTCTTATACATCCTTGGCTTTCAAATATTCGGCTTTGAGCGTTCCTCGTGAAGGAAAATAAACAAAAAAGCGCTTCGGACGCACGAAATTTAAAGCACTGAGTCGATACCTCTGCTGGTGGACTATCAGTCCCCGAGGCTTGGTAGTCAGTACTTCGGTACTGACATGATTTATAACAATCCTTCCTAAAATTGTCCGTTTATAAATTTTAAAATTATAAAGAAACTAAGGTTTTAACTTCCTCAGGCAAAGCTGACCTAAGATGGATTTGGCTGTATATTTTTAAGGTTTTTTTTGTCATATATATAGCTCTTCAACTGTTTCGGTTCTTGTATATCCTTGGCTTTGAAATATTCGGCTTGGAGCGTTCCTGATGAAGGTAAATCCAGAAAGCGCTTCGGACGGGCGTATGACATTTGCGCCGATTTTAAGAAGTTTCGATCTTTCATTTGCGCCGATTTGAATTGAAAGAGGACGAATAACAGTCCTGAATCGTTTCATTCGCATAAATTGACTTCTATTGCTTGAAATCCTTATTTCACCTCCCCGTGGTGAGCAGGGGACAACAGCTATAAACATGTTATAATTGTCAACTGAAGAGATTTATAATGATAAATGAGAAATAAGAAATAACATTCAATTGTAATCTACCTGTACACAATCGGCGCAAATGAAAGAAAAAATCGGCGCAAATGAAATAAAAAATCGGCGCAAATGAAATGCAAATCGGCGCAAATGCAAAACGCCGCTTCGGATCCATGACATCTATATAGTGTTGTTTTCATTTTTTACTTCGCATTCACAAAAAGAGTTTCTTAAAATTTATTAGTTTTGTTATTAGATTAACTTCCAAATTTTCATAAAAACGTTATATGACGTTGCGCGCAGTGATGGTGTACAATAATGAAACAGCGAAAAACGTCAAATTTTTACGAGTTTCGTCAACTATCAATGTAAGTAAAATTAGAAATAAAACTATAAACATGATCTTATTTCGATATGCCTCAGAAACTTGTAGAATCTATTGGATTTCCGAGTATAGCAAGAAGGAAAAAATCATTTCATCTATAGAAAGTTATTATATTTGTTTAATGAAGTTCATAAGGACAAATGAACAAAACGAAAACTAAAGGGCTCCCGTACCCTCGATGCAGGGCCCGAATTATATAGAGAGGGGAAAATCTCATCAAAGAAACATAGCCTTATAATTTTGTACGCTGGACGCGCGTTTATTCTACAAGGGAACTTCTGCTTTTTATCAAAACGTGCACCCCTATTAATGCTTACATTAACGTAATTTGAACTCTTGATTGACAGATGTCTCATTGCCGTACATCGACATTTTATTGCTTATATTTACGTCATTTGAACTCTGGTGGCTAGTTGACCCATCGCCGTACTTTGATCTTTTATTGCTTACAATTACGTCATATGACCTGTGGTGGATAGTTGTCTCATTGACAACCATACCACCTCTCTTTATTTTTAGAATGTAAATCTTACCAGATATTGAGATTCTCGTCGAAATATTTCTTAATAACTGTAAAATTGTATGGTGGATAAAAAGGCAATCTTATAGTTGTTGGTCCAATAGTATGACTTAAATCAACAATGTCAAAGTCTAGATGACTGCAATAGCCGACAATAAACAATGTCCAGAAAATTAAACGACTCATCCTGTAAACAAAAAGACCAGAATGTCATAATCAAATATTACCCCATTATTTTGGTTACAATTTAACACTTAGTACAAAAAACACTCATCAAAGAACAGGCTTAACATTTTGTTTGCCAGACGCGCGTTTCGTCTACAAAAGCTTCATCGGTGAAGCTAGAATCAAGACGTAAAAAGGCAAAAAAAAAAGAGTACGAATTTGAATAACATTGAGGACCACAGAAATATACACTACTGCACCAAATGCTAGTCTTTTAATGTTACTGTTGTAAAATATCTGTCAAATCCTTTTCGAGAGAATCATTGAATGAAAGATAGTATAATGTAAGTCGTATTTTTTGTAGATCATCACCATCCATCATCGAGTTATAATATCAAGGTATTTTTAAAAAAGGACAAAGTTCACATATACAGTTTCATTTCTCAAAGTGTCTTGCTTTCGGCTCCTTGCATTTTGGATGATATTGGCTACTCGGTTTAATACGGATTTCACCGTCACGGTGTCTTATATTCTATGTACTGAAATGTCTTATTACAGACGCATAAACGAATTTGTAAAGCAGAAAATTGAATTGTAAAATTAAGCAATTGAAATATATATTTTTAAACGAAAATTTACATGTAACTGTTTGAAAAACTGCTGTACAAATGATGGCTTTTTGGCTGCTTATACATATATTCTGTTGAGAAAACATGGACCCTTTACCTTTTACTTTTATATATTCAGGGGTCTCAGTGGGTTTAATTAATAATTCAGTGATGATGGTTAAACACGCCCCAAAGAAAATGTCACAAAAAATTAGTCGAGGATTTTGACTCAGTACTAATATATACTTGATTATCTACAAATAAAGAATTCTTTAATTTAAAAAAAATAAATTGAACTTTCTTTCCCTTCAATATAGGTACCGATATCAATTCTACTTTTTTTTATAATCCCATTTGTTACAATTAAGTTACCTATTTTATAATGACATTTCACAGATTAGCTTCATTAAAGAAGAAAATGTATATTTGGCAAGAAAAGTTCAAACCTTCATTTAATTCCATAATGCAATTTATAGCTTTAAGTTTTAAGAGTTTTTTTCTGGATGATTTATGAAACATTACTTTGATATTCTTTTAAGTTTGATATAGTACGTCGTTAGTTTTTACACGTTTTTGCGGTCCAATCTCTTAAATATGAGTTTTTACAACTTAAAATGACCAATTTTAGGTTATTGATTTAATTCAAGTGACAAAGATATTTTCTTTTTCCATTTGAATTCTTTGCATGTTTTTGTTTGTTGCAGAGTAGGTAGTAGAGGAAGTATTCCCCATTAAAATGTATACACTTTTTATAAATATCATAAATCTTAAATACTTATATCAATGTTTTTCTGCTTCATGCATTTACAAAAGAAGAGATGTGTTTAAGGTGGGTTTGGGTAGTAGTTGGTTACCTTGATCTTGTGGTTATCTTGTAAATATATCTTCATTTTGAGGAAAATATTTACGTTTTGTATGAAACTTATTCACACAGTTTCGTGCAGAGTATCAAAAAAGTGCCAAACATAAACCAATATTGTTTATACGCTATAGCTTTAAAATGACTTTAATTAATCCTAGCCATTGAAGAGTTACATTTATTTTCGGTCCTTTAAACCAGCCTTTATTTTTTTTTGGAACATGAAATAGACACTGTTTAAGTTGTCTCATTGTTTTTATATTTAGAAAATACAGACAACAGGAATTATTTCAGCTAAAGTATACATATAGTGCCCAAGCTCTCTCTATACAAAGGACATACCACACCGCTTACACATGACACAGCTGAGAACTTTATATTCTTATACAACCAAATGCAAATATTTTTTACTTCTGTACTTTAAACGCAAATTCAGTATGCCATTATAAATACACCAGTTTCACATTTAACTGCGCATGTCTAACCTAATTAGCCAAACTGTGAAATCACGCGATAATTCCCGAGAATTCACCGACTGGGGGCTTACGGTTGATGTAAGCAGTGACCATGCATATTTAACTTTTGTACACAATTATTCCCTGCATTTTGTAATACAGATGTTAAAAATGTCAACCCTGTTTCTGTATAAGATACATGCACATAATTTACACTGAGATATTACGGTTAATGCAACTAGATATATTTTAATAATTCAGGAGGGGGTCATTTAGCAATTTGATCTTATTTTATGGTAAAGCAGGATATTCAATTACTGATAATGATATCTTATTGTATAAAATTCATTCATTATTATTCAGAATAAGTAGATAGATAATTTTTACATAACAAGGATTTTACTAGTACTACGTCCGAAGGTTATGTCCACATTTTCTAATTATAAAACCAAATACATGTTCTTAAGAATATATTATTATTATTATTATTACAATTTTTCTATAGCGCTAAATCTAAAACAATATTACTCAAAGCGCTTTACATCACATGTTAAACGAAATATACACACAGACAGTGATAAAAATATAAAACATGAACACACAAAATAAATATTTAAGTGTTAAAACTTTTCTAGATAAAAGGATTAATAATGTGGAAATTTTTACAAAAAAGTGGAATATATATATCAATGAATCAAAATAAAATTATACTGAATAAAGTTGGTAAAATAAATAGCCAAAAAAGTCTAAAATAAGGTTGCTATTAAAAATTATCAAATATAAGTTAAAAATTTGAAAACGTATTCAAAAGATGAAAAAGGAATATTACCATGTAAAAATATAATTACTGAAATGAAAAATATGTGTGCTACTAAAAACATACAATGTACATATTATAAATGAAACATATCTCCAGTTAAAAGAAAGGTTCGATAAATCAAAAACAGGCTAACGTCTATGGCACAATGTATCACAGAAACGAATTTAAGGGATTAAAAATGCTTGTCGAAAAAAGTGAGTTTTTAAGTTCTTTTTGAATACAGGCACCGACTTAATAATTTATAATTGCATTACCTGTTCTTAGAGACACTCAAAATGTTAGAGTGTTGAAATACAATATGTTATGAGTAAGTAAATGTATACATGAACGCATGCTGATTAATCAATGTAAGTAATGACAGCTGCATAATAAAAATAAAAAAAAAAATACATCATTTGTTACAAAATCTAATGTGCATGTCTTTATTACACGTTTAAAATCCCTGTACATGTACAATACATAATAGCTACGTTCCCCGTGACAAACATACTGTGTACTGGTATCATATGTTTATCTGCCTCCAGCACACACCAAGATAGAGAGATGTGTATTATCGGTATTTATTATTGTGTTGCCAAATATAAGGGTAAATTGGATAGCCCCTAACCCGAATGATTCAGTCCCTCCCCGTAATCGATCTCTACTACTTGCGTTAATGAAGTAATCGTAGATCAGCGGAATATACCGACTGAATTATTCGGGTTAGATAGCCCCCTGTCACGTATGATAGCGTTAATTATAGCGGGATTTAAACTAAAACGCGCATATGATTTTGAGATCAGGGTTGATGAGTCGCTGATGTGAAACTGATCTATTGTGTTTTGCACAATTAACTTTGGCATTTTCGTTAAATGCATTGTAGGATGAATGATTGTTTATGTGGAAAAAAGGATGCATTCGGCTTTAATGATTTTCGTTCTATTATTCAAGGGAAAAGAAATGTTATCCGACTGAGCATATATGGATTTATTTTAATAAGTGTATAAAAACTTTAGTTTTGTATTAAAGTAGTTTTTACTGCTCTGTTTTACTTATAAACAAATATATTGTTGAAATAATGAAGCTTTCACTAGTGTCTACTTATGAGCTCCAACCAACTGTCTCATTGAAGATGATTCAATGTTTATTAATTAGATACAACACTTTATAAATGTTTACGTTCGAAGAGCATTTCTGGATTTATGTTCATTAGGAACGATCTTACCTAAACATTTGAAAGACAGGGGTGTATAAATACGTTGTTAAGTTAAGAGATAATTTTTCTATTCATAAAGCAAACATTAAACTGTAAAGAAAAAGTATGATTTACAAAAACCAAGTGTATTATACAAGTGTGTAATAGTTCAAAAAAAAGTCCAATGTACTGTAAAAGACAAGTGTCCTTTTAGAAAATGACAACAGAGTGTATGTTTAGTGTGAAGAATCTGTGACTAATTAACAGCATTCATTTAGGTTACTTTTCGTTGTACTTTTTCTACAATCAGTGAAATTTAACCAAGAATGCCAAGGAGCCGAAGTATTAGTGGGCCTCCATTTACTCAAGTGGACCCTACACTTAAGGGTAAGGGTTCGTTTAGGGTAAGGGTTAGGTTAAGCCAAAAGCCTAACCTTCAGCTGAGAGTTAGGATTAGAGTCAGGGTCAGTTAAGTATAGCTCTTCATAGGTTAGATACCTTTAAATAACGGCATCAAAAATGAACAAACTATATATGTTTTTTTGTATTTTTGTTTCATTGACGTATACTCCGCGTTTTAGAGCTTGACGTATTGTATAGACAAGTGTCAATTGTTTTAAACTGTACGTTGACCTCTTGATATCTTTAAGTTTTTTTGTGATGTTGTAATTTTTTCCATTGACGTTTGTCATACACTTATTCACATATTACCCTTAACCCGGAAATTTACCTTTATCCATTACCCTTAACCAGGAAACAATTTTTTTTCTAAAATATTTTTCAACAAAGCAAAATATTTTATTGTAGGTCTTTTGATAGGATATATAGTTAAGTAATAAACATTTTTTGAATGAGTAGAACTGTGATAATTGGAATTGTTTTTTTGTGATGTTGTAATTTTTTCCATTGACGTTTGTCATACACTTATTCACGAATTACCCTTAACCCGGAAATTTACCTTGATCCATTCCCCTTAACCAGGAAACAATTTTTTTTCTAAAATATTTTTCAACAAAGCAAAATATTTTATAGTAGGTCTTTTGATAGGATATATAGTTAAGTAATAAACATTTTTTGGATGAGTAGAACTGTGATAATTGGAATTGTTTTTTTGTGATGTTGTAATTTTTTCCATTGACGTTTGTCATACACTTATTCACGAATTACCCTTAACCCGGAAATTTACCTTGATCCATTACCCTTAACCAGGAAACAATTTTTTTTCTAAAATATTTTTCAACAAAGCAAAATATTTTATAGTAGGTCTTTTGATAGGATATATAGTTAAGTAAACACATTTTTTGAATGAGTAGAACTATGATAATTGGAAGTATGTGCCAAAACAGAGCACACTATTATAGTCATATCTACCGACTGAATTGACGTATCTTAATTTTCTAATAAATCATCGTAAACTTCATTTATGTCACCCAACATAAAAAAAATCTCCTATATTAGACGGCAAATTGAATTTTTGTTCTATTGCTTCTTCTACAGAATATCTTCAGAAGAGGTCCATATTCATTTTTTTGGACTCTTCACCAGAAGACATTCTGGAGATGTACAGAAGAGACCAATAAAACACGCCCTTGGTCTCTAGTGGAGAGTTGTCTAATTGGCAATCATACCACATCTACATATTTTTTTATACTATTCATTGACATTGTTTCTTAAAAATCGTGTAAAATTAGTCGATGAATTGAATTAAAAAAATTTATACAGGTTAAATGAACATTACAGATATAAAAAAGAAGATGTGGTATAATTGCCAATGAGACAACTCTCCACAACAGACCAAATGACACAGAAATTAACAACTATAGGTCACCGTACGGCCTTCAACAATGAGCAAAGCCCATACCGCACAGTCAGCTATAAAAGGCCCCGAAATGACAATGTAAAACAATTCAAACGAGAAAACTAACGGCCTAATTTATGTACAAAAATTGAACGAATAACAAATATGTAACACATAAAACAAACGACAACCACTGAATTACAGGCTCCTGACTTGGGACAGGCACATGCATACAGAATGTGGCGGGGTTAACATGTTAGCGGGATCCCAACCCTCCCCCTAAGCTGGGACAGTGGTGTAACAGTACAACATAAGAACGAACTATAAAAATCAGTTGAAAGAGGCTTAACTCATCAGATGGATAAAAATACAAATACTACAAATACAAGTGGACGTGGCCGGGTACTTGTACATCCAAACAACAAGAAGACACTAAGTACAGATCTGAGAGTACTCGCAGTTACTGACAGCTAGTTCAAAGCCAATAACAACTAATAAAAAAAATCATGCACCTAAGACTAAATTATCAATCCGTACACATCCAACATCCAATGGATTTAGTGTAAAGACGTCATAAACAGTCAGAGAAAAACATGACCTTGTGCAATACCAAGATACAGGTATCGACAGATTGTAGATCCATGAATGTATATATGTATATAACAATAATATTTAGTTTGCTTTTAATTTCCTGATAACAAAATCAATATTAGTACCAATAAAAACAAAATTTAATGATCTAATTACAGTGTTGAATTGGTAACCTTTTAGAATAAGTTTATTTAAAGGATCGATAAGTTTACAAGGATCGTTTCTAAATTTCGGGGCACGGTAAACAATATTGCCGTAAAAATTGGGATGTGCAATCCCGTTTGAAATAAGTTTTCTACAGGTACAACCAAACTTCAAAACCAAATCTTTATATCTGTGGAAGAATTTAGTAAAGGTTTTAAGTAATTTGTGGTAACGAAATCCCTGGCTTAATAATTTACCAGTAATACATAGATTACGTTCGTTAAAATAAAAAAACGTCACAACAGACACGGGCATAGCGAACGAGTTGTGAAATATAAACACCGTAAGATGGTGCCAAAGGAACATCACCATCCAAAAAGGGAAAAATCGTCCCTTTTGTCGTAAATTTTAGTGTGGAGTTTCCCTTGTAAAACCGAAATATCCAAATCTAGGAAAGGACAGTTGTTACCGTTTAAATTTGATTTATTTAAAGTAAGTTCCTTTGGGTAAATTTCGACAGTATATTGAGAAAATTCTTTATTATTTAACGAAAAAATATCATCAAGATAACGGTAAGTGTTGTTGAATTTATCAATTAAATGCAATTTAGACGGGTCTTTACTGAGTTTGGTCATAAACTGTGATTCATAACAGTACAAAAACAAGTCTGCTATTAAAGGGGCGCAATTAGTGACCATAGGAATACATACAACCTGTCGATAAACTTTGGTGCCGAAACGTACATAAATATTATCAAGGAGAAAATTAACAGCTTCAATCATCTCATCACACCTCCAGTAAGTATATCTAGCATATTTACCTTTCTCATTAGAGAAGAAGGCTTTAAATGAGTTGCAGCAAATATATTTGCATTCAGATTTACCAAACGACCATTTGATTAAATAGTCAAATTTTTGTTTGATAAGATTGTGTGGAAGTGTAGTGTAAAGAGTAGAAAAGTCAAAACTGCCAACAGAATCAAAAGGACCACCAAAAGCACGAAAGGACCACCAAAAGCACGAAATTTATCTAAAACATCCAAAGAATTTTTTACTCTCCAAAAATAGTTAATTCCACTATTTTCATATATTATATTATAAGGTCGTTAATGGCTCTTCCTTCACTTTTATTTATGTAAATGCTAATTAGCAATGACTGAATGGTAACAGATGTATTTGGTTCAGTTGCACATACGTCTTATTTCAATACATAACAACAAAGGAAGGGGATTAAGAGCTGTGGTTAAAAAGTATTTGAAAATTGTGAGTTTCTATTGTATCAGTAATATTTAAATTCGGTTTGTGATAATGTTCGTGTAGTTGTACAGTATTTGAAACTAAGGTTGTCAATTTAAGATCAAAAATCACTAGCCGCAGATAAGTTTTATTTCAGTTCAGTAGTAAAGGATCACTTAGATTTGTCAATTAACTCGTTCTTTTTTTTTTAGGTTATAAACGTATGCTCAACATATTCTCTTATCCACAAGTGGTGTCTAGTGTCAATTCCTTATTTCGTTGATTTGATTTATTTGATATATATATTTTGAACAAAAGTACCTATTTACCAAAT